ACGAAATGCTACCAGTCGGGCTTCGCGCGCGCGCATGTCGAAATCTGTCGAACGCCTTTGCGCGTGTGCCGTCGCGAGAATCCTTTGCAAAAAACGGGACGAAGTGCAGACGCGCGCGTCGTCGCGGGCGTACGCCGAAAACCGTCAAAACCCATCGGTTTCGGAAGGATTTCAAAATCGTGCGTCCAAAAAACCTACAAAAACCCAAGGTTTCGCAACATGGATTTTCAACAAAAGCGTGCGCGCGCGCTCTTGCGTCGTCGTCGTCGTCGTCGTCGTCGCCATCCTCCCTCCTCCCGCGTCGTCGTCGTCGTCGCCTACGTCGTCCTCTGTCTTTTCTCGTGTTCGTCGTCGTCGTCCTCTTTGGCGTCGTGGTCGTTTCCGTCGTCGTTGTCGACGTGGTCGTCCTTCCTCCTCCTCCCACGTCGTCGTCGTCGTCCGTCGTCGGCGTCTCGTCGTCGTCCCTCCTATTTCGTCGTCGTCGTCGTTGTCGTCGTCGTCTTCCCTCCTCCCTCGTCGTTGTCGTCGTCGGCGTCGCCGTCCTTCCTCCTTCGTCGTCGTTCGCGTCGTCGCCGTCCTCCCTCCTCCCTCGTCGTTGCCGTCGTTGTCGTCGTTGTCGCCGTCGTCGTCCTTCCTCCTCCCTCGTCGTCGCCTTCATTGGCGTCGTCATCGTCGTTTTCGTCGGTGTCGGCGTCGGCGTCGTTGTCGTCGTCGAAATCGTCGGAGACGTCGTCGGTGTCGTCCTATAGTCGTTGTCGTCGGTGTCGTCGTAGTCGGTCTTAAGAGGTTTTGCAAACCAAGTTGCGGGTGGGTGGGTGGGATGTTTGCGCGAGCAGTGGAGATGACGACTTCAAGTTCAGCAGAGTGGGTTGCACCACATAGCTTGCACCGCACAGACTGCAAGAACCTATTGTTTGGGGCCCACGCTGGCTCACATATTATCCCCCTTATCCTCGTCCTCCTCCTCCTCCTCCTCCTCCTCCTCCTCCTCCTCCTCCTCATCCTTCTCATCCTCTTCCTTCCGTAGCCACTTTGGCTTAAGATGGCGCGCCATCGCGAGCCCAGCGTGGACACCGGTAGCCCGCGGCCAGTTCCAACCTTTTTGCAGCCACACCCAGGGACGAGTTGCCGTTCATTCCCGCGTTTCATCCCGGCGTTGCAGGCCGCCTTCCATATCACACTGTGCCTCGTGCGCTACGCGCCGAGCACCCATACTCTCTCGAGCCCCGTGCCGAGTATGCTTAACCCTACATTCCTGGACCCCGCGCCTGGGTTCCCTACTGCCGTTCCCCGATCCCATATCCCACTGGAAGTCGACGCCTTCGTTCCTCAGCAACAGCAGCAGCAGCCACGCAGCGGCATCGGATTCAGTTGGGTAAGTGGTGCAGTTCAGAACAACTACGTGCCCGTCGTGTCGACACCATGTCCTCCAGTGAAGAACGCCCCACATCACGCAGCACTCCCTTTACCAGCCGCTGCAGAAAGGACCGTCGCCGAGAAAGAGACGCACATGGGCGGAAGCTAACTACCTGCACCGCACCTTCCTTGCCCTGGGCGGCTTCAACACTGCCAGCCGCCCGCCGCACAGCTTCCTCCAGCCACGGCCACAGCACGCCCGCCTCACGCTGGACAACAGCGCTCGGCAGCAACAGCCGTTTTGGATGGCCTTGTTTGACAGCACGTTGGAGATCGAGTCCGACCTTCCGGCGCGCTTCAACAAGTCCGACGTCACCGCCTCAGCCATCGACCGCGTCTTCATCCGCCTCCCGTCGCACGCCACGATTGAGCTCACAGCAGTCATCCGCATCGCCCACGACCCTGCCATCCTCTCGGACCGCCTCCTCAGCGACCACGCCGTCGTCTCTTACACCATCGGTATCAAGCCTAAGACGCCGCCAGTGGATCAGGCTATCCCCCCTGCCATCTTCCGCGACCCCTCGTTCGCCAAGTACTTCCAACAGATGCTCGACCACACCGTCACGACCCACCTGCCGATCGCAAACCGCTGGCGCACTCACAAGCGTCTCATGGTTGAGGCTGCCCGTCATGTGCGCGATGACTGGGTCAGCCGTGCAGCTGGAGAGATCGGCCACGTGATCACGGCACGCTCGATTTCGCGGGCGATCTGGCGCCAGGACATCCATCTGGCACGCTGTCTGCAGTCCACCACCGAGCTCGGCTCAAAGTACCTCGTTCTGGACAAAGGAATCATCGCGCTGTTGGATGCCGCCGAGTTCGCCGCGAAGTCCTCCGCTCTGCACAGCGACTTCGAGGCTCGGCAACGCTCTCTGGCACAAAGAGCTGCCCAGTTGCCAGGGGGCTCGCCTGGGGCCACCGGGCCAGGGAAGCTCCGAAAGATCACCCGCGCGTCCCAGCGCAGGGCTCTCCTGTGGGCCCCCTGGAGGCGCCGCCTTGTCCTCCGGGGCATCAAAACCACCGACCCGTCGGGCCGTCCGCCGGTGGCCAGAGAGAGCTGTGCGATGGTGGACGCACTTCGCGACCACTGGCGCCCCGTCTTCGAGCGCAAGCAGGTCGACGAAGAGAAGGTCAATCAGCACGTTGCAGCGCACATGCCGCTCCTTCCCACCACCAACGTTGGCGCTCCCGCCAAGGCCCAGATCCGCGGCTTCTTGCAGCGCGCTGCTCCGTCTGCCCCAGGGCCCGACCTCTTGCCGCACCGCGCCTGGTTCGCCCTCGACGCGCCCTTGGACTTGCTCGAGGACCTCGCTTGGCATCTCTGCTCCAACGCTGACATGATCCACGATCTGAATGACTCCGACTTCGCTTACCTCCCTAAGGGCGACAACCGCACGGCCGAGCTCACTACGGACCGCGTGCCAGAGGACACTCGCCCGCCCCCCCTGAAGAACACGGATATCAAAGCCATCGCGGGCGCGGCCGCATAACGCGCAGCAGGGTTTCGTCGTCGGCCGCAACTTCACCAAGCACATGGTCCATTTAGACGCGGAGACGCGCCGTGCAGGGTTTCGCCCTGATGCCGAGCTGCACAAACCAGTCTTCACCAGCTTCGACTTCGCTGCGGCGTTCCCGTCGCTAGGACGGGTCTGGCTCTTCGCTTCCCTGGAGCGTTCTAGAATTCCTGAGGGCCTGCTCAGTCTTTTCCGCCAGCTGTGCCACGCCCTGAACAGCTTCCCCGAGATCGACGGCATCCGCCACTTCACGTTCCCGATCGAGTCTGGCGTGGCGCAGGGCTGCCCTGCGAGCGGCTCAGCGTGGGCGATCGCGATGGACCCGCTGGCGCGCCGCCTCGCCTCGTTCGTCGAGACGGGCGATGGCTCCCCTGACTACAACAAGGGCTACCTCGGCGTGTGCGCAAACGACACTGGCCTCCTCACGTTCTCTTTCGACGCGCTGCGCCGCGCACCTGAGCCCTTTTGCGCGGCGGAGGAGCTCGCGCTCCTCACGCTCAAGCCGCGCAAGTGCTTCGTCGTCCCGCTCTGGACGAAGACAACGCCTGCCACCATAGCTTTAACGAAATCCCTCCTGGCTGACTTCTGCCCCCCCCTGGGAGGGCTTTTCGGTTTCGGGGCGAGCCAAGTACCTGGGGGCCTTCCTTGGACCCTCGGCCTTTTTTGCCTCGCAATGGCTCGCCCCATGGGCAGAAATGGTGGCAGCGCGGCACTTCCCCCCAGCTTGTCCAGAGTGGCAGTGATGACACCGTTCGCCTGTACAACACATCGGTCGTCTCGACACTCAGCTATGTCTCGCAATTCTTTCCGCTTGACTTGAAGATTGCTCGCCGTGAACGCTACATCTTTCACAAAATGCTCGGCCTGCCGCCGAGCTCATTTCGCAAACTTGGTTTCGTTGCAACAGCGGAGCGGCGCCCGCCTCCTGTCCCACGTTCTGCTCAGATTTCTGCCGTCGCTGCCGCAATTCGCTCTGCTACATTCGCACTGCGCGGGAAATGGGAACCATTCCACGCGCGTCTGCGTGACACCGCGTGGGAGGAGAGCACGGCTCACTCCTTCCATCGCTGGGAGACAGGGCAGCGGTCTCCGCCCTTTTGGGAAGAGGACACTTCCATCGCGCAACTCTACCATGCCATGTCCTGCGGGAAGCGCGCCCCCCCCCCCCCCCCCCCCGTTTTCCGCAGCTGCCGCCGCCGCGGCAAACACCGCAGCTGCCCGCGAGCTCCGCGAGGCCCCAGCTGCTGAGCCACCGCGCCGCCCTAAGGTGCAACGTGCGGTCGCGCTCGAGCTACGCCGCTCCTCTTTTTCATCGCCGTTCACAGTCATTCTTGAGAAGCGCATCGCGGCCTGGGGCATCCTGCAGCCATCTGCCCCAGAGCTCGCGACGCGATGGTCTGCTCTCACCAATGTACACCGCAATGTCCGCCCCAGCTAGCGCTGGGCGGTTTTCAAAACGCTCTCTGGGGGTTGGACGACCACCCATTGCATGCATGTCCCCCAGCAGAAGCAGTGCGCGTTTGGCCCCCAGGCTGTACCCGATTCGTTCCCTCACTACCTCTCCTGCGCTGGCCTCCTGAGCCTCCTCTGGTCCCCCGACCCTCCCCCGCTCCGTAACACACTTACACACTGGGGCCTGGGCCCCACCGCCGCCTACCCGTCTGATCCCGACAGTGACCTCTCGTTGTTGCGGTCGATCCAGCGGATTGCGCTGGCCCTCAATCTGCACAACAAATTGAAGCACTCCACGCCGACCCCAGCCACGATAGCTGAAGGGTTGTGCGCCGCCAAAGCATTGCTCTGGAAGTAGGCCGGCCAGTGGACTGACGCGCGCGGACAACTTGCCCTCGTCTCGCGTCTTGCCCGTTTGCCCTCGTTTTTTCCCCTTGGAGTACGTGCACTCCTCCTCCTCCTCCTCCTCCTCCTCCCCCTCCTCCTCCTCCTCCTCCTCTTCCTCCTCCTCCTCCTCCTCCTCCTCCTCCTCCTCCTCCTCCTCATCCTCCCCCGCCTCCTCCTCATCCTCCTCATCCTCCTTCTCCGCTATCCTCCTGAAACTTGCGGCGTGACCAGTCTTTTCCCTTGCGCGCATCCCGAAGCAGCTGGCATCATCCGGGCTGGCGCCCCAGGAATTCCGCCGGCAATTGTCGGTGGTCGTTTTTCCTTCGGGAGACGCCAGCAGGATCAACATCACCACTACCAACGTCAGCATCCTCATCACCCCCCCTCCAAAGGGCCACACTGGTCACACCAGCGCCCCCTGCATTCCCAGATCCTCGTTTGTGCCGATCGTCCAATTGCTTCCGAGAAGCATATTCACACGCAACTCAAACGATGGTGGATCGTTTTGAGTCAGTAGACTTACTCGCGCGAACCATCGCGCATGCGAGTGCATGGCTTATAAGTTCGCGTCGTGTTGACGCAACGGCGACTCCAGCGCGGACGTTCAAGTTTAAACACCACCAGTCTCCAGCGCGGACGTTCAAGTTTAAACACCACCCGTGGCCCAGAATCGGCCAGCATCGAGGACAACCGCGATCGTTCAAGGCGGCACGATCCACGCGGTGACAAAGCAGCACCAACGTCGTCACGACACGAACCCGCGGCAGCGCGCCTGGGGTGGAACCTCGGGCTCGGGCAGTCACGCAACAGCGCAATTGGGGCGGAGCCTCGGGTGCTGTTGCCTCCCTGCCCTCTCCAGAATGCTGCCCGTGAGCGGGGCTGCTCGTCCGCGCATGTCCCAGGGCCATCATCATGATCACCATCATCACCATCGACATCATCATCGCCATCTCTGCATATCGTCGCCGTCGCCAACGGCAGCATCACCACCGCCACGGCCATCGCCATCATCGTCGTCATCGCCATCACCATCGTCATCACCCCTCCTCCCCAGGGTAGGTCGCCCCGCCGGTGCCACCTCGTGGCGCCCGGTCTGCGCGCAAGGCCGAGTTGGCCAACGTGGCCGCATGCGTCCGCACCATGGACGCTTTCGGCCTGCAGTTCGCCGAGGCCCCGTGCTCGCACCGATCGACCGTGGGACGAGCCAAACGGGGAGTTGCGACGATCAGCACTTTTTCCAATGCTCGAGCTGTCGTGGTGCTCAGCCGCTCGTCAAGGGCTTGAGGAAAGAGACTGCGGTAGCACAGTGCACTATGCTTCCTGCATGTTCTTGCTCATGTGCCAGATTCTCAACCTCCCCATGCAAACAAACAGGCCCCAACCCTCCCCACGTTTGCCCGGGCAGCCAGGTCTGGGACCTCGCCGCCCACCCGAGCGGGCGGGCGTTTTTTCCTCCCTTCAGATCCAGGAGAATCAGAGATCATCCTCCAGGCAACGAGGTTGGCGAGGACTCCGAGCATTGAAAGGCTGTTGTGTGATTTTCCATTTTGGGGGACCTCTGCGAGGCTTCCGGTGGCCAGGGCTGGACTTCCTTCGAAATTCTGGCCCGAACGTATCCCAGGAGATGTCCAGGGGTCGACTTTTGACCCCTGGGAGCCCAGACACCCAGCGTGTTGCAAAATGAAGACAAGACGGAGGTGTTTCGTGGTTTGCTGGCTCTCGACGCCCAGATTGCCGCACCAGCCACAGCCACGACACGAAACAGAACGTCGGCGGCGGGAGCCACGCCGATATCCAGCGCGGGAACCCCCAGGCCCCAGCACAGACGCAGAGGGTCGAATCACCCGCAGAACGGACCACGGAAATTCTGCCCGCAGGGAGGAGAGGAGAGGAGAGGAGAGGAGAGGAGAGGAGAGGAGAGGAGAGGAGAGGAGAGGAGAGGAGAGGAGAGGAGAGGAGGGGAGGAGAGAGGAGAGAGGAGAGAGGAGAGAGGGGGGAGGGCGCAGCGCATGCAGGAGACATTGCGGATGCTCGGGCGGCGGTCGGGGTGTTAAGAGCCACCAAGCCCCATCCAGGCAACGGACTCGCTCGGCCTAGCTGTCCAGCGGCTGCCCCGCCACAGGAGCCAGAGCTTGCCAGACGCCTGGCACGGGGAAGCTGGCAAGCGTTGCTTTATGTACATAAATATGTGTATATAAGTGTATATATATACACACACACACACACACACACACACACACACGCGGGGCCTCTCAATCATCCTCCCCCTCGTCCTTGTCAGCCTTGTTGCCCTCCGACTGGTGACTCTGGCTTCCTCACCCCTCTTCTCCTCCTCCTCCTCATCCCCGTCTGGAGCTGGAGCAAAAGAACTTAGAGAACCTCAACGAGGTCAAATGTCTTGTTCACTAAACGACAGGCGTTGGATGTGTATCTGTTATCCGAAACCTGGCTGAAAAAAAAACTGTGGAATGACAAGGATTCTTATATCCTATCTCCCTGTTGGACGGGGAACTGTGCAAGGCTTGAGACACAGTGAACCACAAGAAGGGTGCCAAACGGCTTCTCCAGAAGATCATTGTCGCCGCGCTGTTCCGGGAAGCACGGGAATTTAAATCCCAGATACAGGCGGGCGGTGTGTGCAGAGGGACGCCCCTCCTACCAGGTCTTTCTGCCAAAGCGCGCCCCATCTCCCTTTTACGATCTTCAATTTAAGATTCGCAGCAAATTGCGCGGGTGCCCAAATTAGTTAATACATACATACATATATATACATATATAAAAATTATCCACGGCTGGTTTGGCGGTTCCCCTTGGAGAAAGTTCGTGTTGAACAGCCGCCACGGGCGATGTGCTGATGACTATGCGCATCAAAGGCCGTGACGACCAGAACGCTTGGCGGACCGAAGGGTTCAAGGCCCTCGGCAAGATTATCATTTTGGGCGGGTCACTTGAGAAGAAGATCGAACACTGGAAATGAAAGGCGCGGGTTGTTTTACAAGCACAGGGTATTGCTCACACACATGACCAAGTTTTTCAACAAGAAATGCATGTTTTTGTATGACTGTGAAGCTAGCACTGCTGTGGCCTGGGCGCGTGGAATGTCACCGCGCACCAGGCTGAGGAGACAGCTGTCCGGGGTGCAGGGGGGGAAGGGTCAGACGCATTCTTCGCATTGCCAAGAGGGAGTAGTTACGAGTCGATGGCCGAACACACGCACCGGAGCGAGAATAATGTTACAGGCACGATGGATCAGAACGGCGTTGGTTCGTGGGCCATGGCATGGAGAAGAGAATGGTAAGATTGGGATCGGACATTTGCGCGTCAGGGCACCCACGAACCCGAACGCATAACAGGGGAAAGTCTTGACCTGGAAGAGCAGACGTTCATTTCGTGAGTTTGCTAGCCCTCATGCTGGGCAGCAATGGCCTCCCAATCGTTTGCGATCGTGGAGATGGAAAGCAGCGATCGACAAGTTCTTTTTCGAGCGAGATTGTCTGTGGACATCCGTTACTTCTGATCAAACAGCTTGGGCGCAGCATCGTGAACAGTTCCTCCTTTGGCGTGACTTTCCCCATGCAGACGGGCCCCTGAGTCATACACGTCGGCTAAAACCAATGAGCTGAAAAGCAGCGGCAATTCCCTCGTGGATCCTTCGCGCCCCCGAAGAAGAAAAATGTGTTCTCCTCTTCCTCGTCCTCCCCCTCCTCCTGCTCCCCCTCCTCCTCGTCCTTCTCCTCCTGCTCCTCCTCCTCCTTTTCTTTCTTCCGTAGCCATTTTGCCTCAAGATCTACCTGCAAATTGGTTGCGCCGCCGGCCCCGCGCGAGGACTCGTCTCCGTGCTGAAGCGCGCGATGGCTGGCCATGCGCGCTCGTCACAGTGGCCTGGCTCGTCGTCTGATTCCTCCCACCTGTGTGAGGTGTTGGCATGCCTGGTTTGCGGTCCTACGTGGACGCGGTGGCTGTGAGCAAGGGGCGAGGCTCTGACCCTTGCCCAAACACGCCGTTTGGAGCGTGATGCATGGTACCGCACGGCGCATCCAGCACCTCGTAAGCGCGACTTGTAAGTTCGGGAACAAGACCGCCACGACGCGCGACAGATGACCAAGGGCAAAAACGTCCCACAGGACTCCGGACGCTGCTGCCGCTGCGCCTGCAGCGTCTGGCAAAGTATCGCGACTGGAAGGACAGATGCCTGCCCCGACTGCTGCTGCGCCTACACCGGCTGCTGCTGCGCAAAGTCTGCAGCTGCTGCGCCGACCCCGACTGGAAGGACAGACGCCTCACGAAAGACGAATATAAGCACGCGAGGAGTATCCCTGTTGGAGCTGACCGTGACAAGCACACCCACTCGGCGCTGTCATCGCAGAGGGGCACCTATCGTACGGCCTGGGCAGACCTTTGTGCCAGCGAAGCAGGGGAATCAGGTTCGCCTTCTTCTGTACATCTACACGGCACATGCCCTGAAGTGCTTCACGATTGCCAAGTCCTTTCCTGAGAGGAAGATCTCTATGTTGCACGCGTTCCTTACTCTAGTGCAATTGGCGACGACACCGCAGGCGAATCTCCTGATACGGTGGTCAACAGGATGGCCAACGGCCTGGCGTCGTATCTCGACCATGTGACGGTTCAATGCGCACGACGATTCTCAATAGATTGGAGCTGCTGGAGTTTGTAATCCGCGCGTTGGTCTCGAAGTTCGACTCGTGGGAGGCCCTGGACCCGGGCTCTTCTGTTGCGGCGGTTGTTTGGGGTTGGTGGCTTTCATCTGCCAGGGGCCCTCCCGCTGGTGATAAGCTACAGCACCCAGATGCGCAACATCGTGTTGCTCTTAAGGTCAAGGCTCATGAATACGGCTTTGAGGCTGAGCAGTTTCGGCTCGAAGAGTGCATCGCCACCTGTTGAGAATTCGGAGACAGTGTTGTGACAGCTGCGCCTGGCAGCGGCTCATTTCCCCTACCTGCGTCCATGGCGAAGCAGCCCTGCCTGAAGCAGTCGATGTCTATAGCGTGAAGGTCCTGTCAGTGGGCCCGAGGACTTCGAATTGCAAGGCATGCCAATTTGACTCACACTGCGCTGGGGGGGGTCGAGCGTAAGTTCTCTCACTTGTCGGAGGTGGCCGATCATACGATCGCTGACGAACATGCACGTCTTAGCCTGTTGTTCTCCGCATATGCTGACGCTGTTCTGCCATATTCGTCTCCGTGGCATGCTCGCGCTGCTGGTCGCAACTCGCTTGAGGCCCATGCCCTGCAACCCGAATTACATCGTGGATCACTGCATGTCCAGTGCTCTGAGCCTGCTGCACTACAAAGCGATGAACTCCCACAGGATGGCCACCGCGCTGATAAACGTACGGCCACTACGAGCGTGTCCACTCCTTGTTCGAGCTCCGCTGCAATCTGTACACCTGCGGCGACAGCTACGGGCTACGTAAAACAACTGCGTGGTCTTCGGCTTCGCAAGCGGCTTCTGGTGTGACTGCGGCGATTTTGGAAACAACGGGTTGTTCCTCCCCGT